TCTTGAAGTCAGAACACTACCAGTGGCCCAGCATTCCTCACATTCTCTGGTCCCCTCAAACCCTGTTGATTCATCATAACCCTGTTGATCCTATCCCCAAAATGTCTTGGATATAGCTACTTCACTTTATCTCCATCACTACCACTGTAGAACTCACCATTATTTTCTCCATTTGGACTATTGCAAAAAATACCTCCTACATAATCTAATTTGCTCAGTTTTCATCCTCTAATTCAGTATTCCTGTCCAAATGAAAAGCAAAAGCAATATCTTTCTTATCATATGTAATACTTGCTTCTTCTGTTGGCATATAACCCTTGAGGAGTACCAATCTCTCTCAATTTATGATGGGTCTTTCAACATATGCCTTTAATATACTTTACCTACTGATGTCATTACCTAGCCTAGACTACCTTTGGTATGCTCAGAACACTTACTTTAGTATAGTTGGGCAAATCATTTAAAGCTATTTTTTGATAAAGTGTTAAATAGTACATGTAACTCATTGAAGATCAAAAGCAAAAAAAAATAAAACCCTAATAAAATAATTAAATATGGTGCCTATTAAATGTGTATCATTTACATCCCACTATAGAAACATCATTTTTGAACTATCACAAATCAGGGATTGTCTGTACTTAGAACTCTTTAGTGTACTCTGTTTGATCTATATTTTGACTGCCTATTAGCAAATGTATCTAGTGTCTCCTCTACTCCATCTGCACTAATTTTCTTTCAATTCCTAAAAAATATACTTTCCTGCTTTGCTTTTCTCCCTCCACCTATAATGTCTTCTCATGCTCTCTTCACAGGGATTAATCCTTCTTTTTGTTTTCAGTTTTAAAGGCTACTTCTCCATTAAGGCCTTCCCTACCCATTTTATTTCAAGAACTTTAATGTTGTCTATCTCTACCCTTTGTTTCCATAGTATTTATTACAATTTCAAATGCTTTTATTTGCCTGTTTAATTAAAAAAAAATCTACTACTAGAATTGGGAGGACAGCACAGAGTAGGTTCTCGGTAAAGGCTTGTTAAGTCTTATAAAGGATCTGACTGCTTTGAAAAAGTTTCAGACTGGAATCATAATGACAGGTCAAATGCCAAGGAGAAGAGATGACCAGGGAATCTATAAGACTGGGGATGAAAAAAGCAGATGAGAGCTCTAGATGGAGGAACTCACTGAGAGACAGAAAAACATGTAGTCATGAAATTGTTTTGATTGAGTGGAAAAAAATCTTGGAGGACAAGAATATTAAAGGCAGTTTTTCCAGTTGTTCAACTCAAAGTGGGTCATTTTTTGATTGGGTAGCAATTGATGACAAACTTATGGATAGTCAGTTTGTCCTTTCATTGTTAACAATAAAAGGATTAACCTTGTCACACATCCCATTTTCTCATTGTTGGGACTTAGGTTGTTTTAAATTTTTGCTATTAGAAAAGCAGGTTTGCATCACAGTAAAATCTCTGTAACAACTTAACAATGAAAACCTTGTTCATACTTTTAGTTTCCTGCCTTTTTGTCTCTCACTTCTACTAGAAATGGTAGAGTAGCACACAACACATAGTAGGTGATCAATAAGTATATTGACTTCTTCATGTAGTTCCTTACATTTTATAGTCCTAATATAAGAAATAGTTTGATACAGATAAGTAGAAGTGATTTAATACAGGTAAATAGTCTAGAGCAATGTTTAGTAATAAATATTGCTATTATTATGATTTACAGATTCTTGATACAGTGTCAAATTTATTTATAAAATGGTTATAATAGTTTACTGTGCTGCCAGAATCAGGGATTAATTTAATAAACAATTTCTGAGCAAATGCTGCTGGCCAAAAACTATTCAAAACATTGGGAAATAGGGCACTAAGCAAAAAGGGACAAATCCCCTACTTATGGCTTCTTCATCTTGGTGGAGGGAACAAATAGTCATCTACATTATATATTTGTAGATCACTTATAATTGACTATTTTTAGGTATCTACATGACATACATATACATACACGACAATATATACTATCCATTTATGTATTATATGACAAAATATCAGGTAGTGATAATGGATATGAAAGAGAACAAAGGGTAAGGTTAAAGAAAGGTTAGGGGGTGAATTTTTGCATAGGATGGTCAGTGAAGTCCAGAGAGGTGACAATGAGTAGCAGCTTGAATGAAGGAAGTGAGGTAAGGCACAGCACAAGTAGCACAGCTGGATGGAAGTGCAAGTGGAAGGGAATAATAGAGTGAACACATATTTTAGCAATTTCTCAACAATCTGAACATTACATTTTTTATTGAAAATAATAGCTAAAATATTTTACTTTATTCTAAGTTATAGAGTTGGGTGAAATGGCATATGCTCTTAAATCTTTTTACCACTTGCTTGGGAGAGATACTAGTTATAATGAAAGCTAACTATTATAAAACCCTTTCCTTATGTAAGTCACTGTATATGTTTTGACTCACAATAACCTGGTCAGATATACACAATTAACATTCCTGGCTATAGAAATCAGGGCTAAGAAGTAATTTTCTGTAAATGTCTGTGTTTGGCAGGATAGGATTGGAGTCTGCCTGTAGGCTCTGGCTCTGAATCCACCATAACTCACTATCTCATGCTTCTGTTATACAACACATTTATATTTTCTAACAACCTCAAATTATGTCATTTTACCTTAATATTGATGAGAAAAAAGAAATAGGCTGTTGAATAAAATGTTACTCAAGGACCTACTCTGCTGTCTTTATATCTAATTATAATTTTGCCTGCTTAGTCAGTTTTGCAGACTCTATCCACAATGTTAAGTGAGAACTTATTGTACTTGTTTTACCATAGAAATAATCACAAGCTATTTTCTAATGTCTTGTGTCACAGAGTCATAGGCTAAAGACAACACATAGAAATGTCCATTGCACTTTTACAAGGAAGACTTATATTTTTATACTCTCTATTCTATAGTATAATATAGTACTTGGGAACTCAGGCAGGGATTATGTTTCCCACTTCCTTGCATGTAGGTGTGTAGTTTTTGTAATGTTACATGAAGAAGTGATATGTGGCACCTCACAGACAAGGGTTTTAGAAACTCCTATGCCCACATCCCCTCAGGTTCCCAGAACTCAGCCTCACTCATTCAGAATGCCCATTTGGACTGTTAAAAAGATCAAAAGTGGGCCCTCCCTCGTGGTGCAATAGGTTAGAGTAATGCACTATGAAGCTGTCTGAAGCCACTGCGAGCCTGGGCTTGATTCCTGGCCAGGGAGGTGACCCATATTGTGCAGCAGACCTCTCCTGTCTTGCCAGCTGCTCCTCTCAGCAGTGCATTTCAGTAAATCCACCTGTTCTGCTCCCCACTGTCTCTGGTGAATTCTCTCACCTCCTGCACCTCTGGCCTGTACTCCAGTTCTTGTAAGCATAAATAAATCTTCATTAAAAAAATTCCATTAAAAAAAGATCAAAAGTATATTTTCAGTGTGTAAAGTAACTCAAGTTTTATTTTTTTAAGCATTAAGTATATTGTATTAGAGATTCTAAACCCTGTAACTTCCTCTTTAATGATCTAACGAGGCATCAAATCCTTAAAGTTACATGTCATTAAAAGTCCTCCAAGGACAACGAAGCCATCAAAATATTAATAATGTTTTGTGGATATTTTCACCATTCCTAATATTAAAATTGTGCTTTTTTTTTTGCTTCAACATCACATTATTTTAACTTATTTCTGTAACATATTGTTGTAGGTTGAAATGGGTTCTCCTAAGTGAGATGTGGAAGTCCTAATGTTCAGTACCTGAGAACGTGACCTTATTTGGGAATAGTCTTTGCAGATGCAACTCAGTTAAAAGGAGTCATACTGGACTAAGGTGGTCTTTCTTTCAATAACTAGAGCCCTTAAGGGAGGAACATTTGGACCCAGAAACACAGGGATGAAAAACACACAGAGATGGAGGCAGAGATTAGAATGAATGAATCTACAAACCAAGTAGTGCCAGGGAATAAACAATGAGCAGAAGCTAGCAGAGAATGGAAAAGATATTCCCTCTCAGACCCCAAGAGGGAACCAATCCTCCTGTCACCCTTACTTCAGACTTATGGCTTCCTTCTCTGAGACAATACATTTTTGTTGTCTTAAACTATACAATCTGTGACATTTTGTTATGGCAGCCCCAGTAAACTTATATATATATAAATACGTATACATACCGTACCATAGGCACTTTCTACATTTTTTTCAATGAGATAATATGGCCTATTATGGAATTTTTTCCGGATCTTGTCATCCACTCTGAAGAAGGTTCCAGCAAAGTCTAACATAAAATTTCAGAAGTGCCTTGCTTCAAGTCCTCTTTTTTTTGAGGGATTATGTCAAGAAGCCTAGCCAAGGAATTCTAGACTTCTTTTTCATGAAGCAGAGACTCTAGCTTTACTTAATCTTCTCTGAATAAAAGATGCCCTGCAATGTAAGTTTATCTCCCAGGGAGAGTACTGAAAGTTAAGGCAACCACCTCGAACAAACTGGTAATATTGACATTTAATGTCAGTAGCTTCTGCCATTGCTGTGAATATATCTCTTTACTGAGCGCTCCGGTTGAAACTGGGGATAAAACAATTTACCCGCCTTTATTATCCACAATTTGTGTTTCATCTGCAAATTCCCCTTGCAAAAATAAAGTATCAAGTAGACTGGGAGGTAAGAACAGAAAGTTAACCAAACCAAAAGAGCGAAGAAATTTTCTTGAGCAAAAGCCCTTTGTGCGCGATAAAACGTTGATAGAAGGTTTACAAAACTCCAACTTTTGCATTACCAGGCGGCTTCCTCTTCGCAAGCAGAACACTGCGCAGGCGCCAGGGTCGGCGTGCCCTGGGAAGATTCCGGCGCAGGCGCCCGAGCGGGTACGTGGGCGGGCTCGCGTGCGTGCCCGCGGTTCACTTCCGGTAGGCCCCTCCCCCTCTCCCCCGCGTAGCCACCTCCCCCTCTCTCTCCCTACTCCTCCCCGGTCTCGCCCCACAACTCTCCCCACCCCTTGCGCTCTCCGCGGGGCTCTCTCCTCCCGTCCTTCCCTCCCGCTCCATCCGGGTCGCTGACGGCTGTCTGTGGACTGGACAGCGGTGGCGGCTGCTTTTCTCTAAGGAACCTAGTAAAGTTTCACAGGAGCCGGGGAGGGGAGCAGCGGAGCAGCAGCACCGACGCCGGAGAACCCCTGGTGATCGCCGCCACTGGCTGAAGGAGAAGGGTCCAGGAACTGGAGACCTGCCTCAGCTGCGGCGTTGCCTCGCTCTCTGGGGAGGCGCCGCCCCCTATCGCCTGGGTTTCCCTTGCCTTTGAGGGACCGGGTGAGACGTTGCCCCGGTGGGTTCGGGGGTGTGTGACGGTGTTAGGGAGGAGGCAGGCCGGGTTGGGCGGATACAGGCCCGCCTGGCGCAGGGTGCTTTCTCAGCGCTTTCTTGGGGTGGGGGGTGGGGGCCCAGGGCAGTGTCGGGGCTCCCCGGCCGGGTGCCCGGAATGTCGCACCTCCCTGGGGAAGGCCGCCGAGGTGCGGAGCTTCGTCCGCGGGTTTCTGCAGCTGCTGCGAGCGAGCGGCTGCCGTAGTTGGCTCGTCTGCCCGCGAGGTTGGGTGTGTGCAGAAGATTGCTGTCCCTCGGCCCCCTGAGCTGATTTGAGAGCTTGTTCGGGGAATGATGGGAGCAAACTGCTCTCGTTCCCCTACCTGTTGCTGGCGAGAGGACGTCTTTCCTATACTCGTTCCGTCCTCATGCGCTGAAATCTGGGGTATTTTTCCAGTCCTCTCTAATTTTTTTTTTAAAGAGTTGGGGGGGAGGTGAAGACAATGCTGAACTCTCGGCACTTATCAAGTTCTGATGCCCCAAGAGAATGAAATAAAACTTATTTAATGGCTAGGTCACGCAGTGAGACAGTTTTCGGTGCTTGCTAGCCCGAATGTAGGAAAGTTGGGTGTTGAAACTTCCCAGGTTCTGTATAAAGAATGTGGGTGACTACAGCGGGTATAAGGTTGACTTCCTGTAATTGTGGTATTTTGTAACGTGATGTGGTAAAAAAAAAAAATTTGTGTAGGTTTAGATGAAGTGGACTCTTTGTTATCTGAATCTTTACAAGTGAAGAAATAATCAGTGTACTGGAAAGTTCTACAGATTTCGCGATCAAACTATCAGTGTCCCAACCCCCATCTCTATTCTCGAAAAACTGGCAGTGCTGGGGTTTTTCTGTAGTTGTTTTCCATCTTCAAATAATTGTCTCGGAGGTATAAAGAGCTTAAAGGGCTTTTTTTTTTCCAGTCACTTTTCTAATAGGAAATGTTTAATTTGGGGGAGAACTTTGATATTTAAACTGAAAGTTTCCCCCCTGTATGTTAGTTATGAATACAGATTTAGTTTTAAAATTAGTAGGTTGGAGTGTTGCTATTTTGATTTGCAAGAAAAGAGCTTTGGAGGTGATCGTCTTAATATTAAGTTTTGACATGTGGACATTTTCTCTAGGTCCGATTGGTATGAATAATTGGAAGAGTCATTTAAATTGTGGGAAGTTTGAAGTTTCCATTATTGGTTTTATTTCCATTACATATAGGACTCCAGTTTCTGTTAATGTGGAGGTAGGTATTAGAAAGTTTAATTTTGCTGTTGTTTGAGGGAGATTGCAAGGTTTTATATTGTTTTATGTGTCTAAATTTTTCACCATATATTTTTTTTGATTATTATTTTTGCTTAATGCTTATTTCTTGCTCCCATTGAAATTATTTAAAGGGAAAAGGATTCATTTCATTAAGTTACTTAGTGTTTGTTAGATTATCACAAGATAACAAAAAGTCAAAAGTGGTTAATATGTTTTACAGTCATGGAAAGTGATACATTTAAAAAAAATGTTTCTGGATGCTGTATTTACCCTACTGATTGGTTTTTGAAGCTAAATACTTGTGTAGCATATTTTAAAATAGGTTTCTTGTTGGCTATATAATGACTGTTGTAGTGTAGCACTCGAAGAGCAATTATGTATCATGTTTCCTTTGAAGTCATCTTAACTTTTTTTCTGTCTCTTCAGATATAGGGATACCTCCAACTTCCCAGTGGTTCAGAAGGGAGTTTTTTGTTGAAACTGGAAGACCAAAAGAATTACAAATATGTTGTGCTGGGGAAATGCATCTTTTGGACAGCTAGGTTTGGGTGGAATTGATGAAGAAATTGTTTTAGAGCCCAGAAAAAGTGACTTTTTTATAAATAAAAAGGTCCGAGATGTAGGATGTGGACTCAGGCATACTGTATTTGTTCTGGATGATGGAACAGTGTATACATGTGGATGTAATGATCTGGGACAGCTAGGTCATGAAAAATCCAGAAAGAAACCAGGTAAGCTGAGGAATTTTTTTTTTTGTTTAATATTTTTAATTATATAATTTAAGTTTGAAATGTTAAATAATTTCTCTAGTTTTAAGCCCCCCCTTTTTTTTTAAAAAAAAACAAGCTTTAAAACCAAAGTAGGAGCTAAATATATCCTTTACTTTTGCATGCTTCTAAATATTTTGTTTTATGTTTGCTTGCAAACTCTATAAACCCTTGTGGTATAAAACTCTAGTGTCAACATAATTATGGTGATGTAAAACGACATAGAAAACTAGCCTGTGTTGTATATATCTTCTTGACATAGAGTAGGTTATTAATTGGTTTGTTCACTTACCTTTAAACACGTAACTTATACTGTGTTGATTCCATGCTTTAGAAAAAAAAATTAAGACGAGTTTTTTACTTTCACTTACTTGGTAAAATAAATCCTTACTCTTCTATTTTCCTCCCTAATGTAGTAGCATTTTAAAGGTAGAATTTTATTTAGCTTGGTTGAAAATATCTTTTAATCTCCTAACTTCTTACTCTCAAGTAGTAATACCAGCTATTAGAAGTTTTCAAATATAAGATGTCCTTATTATGTAATAGTCCTATAAGCCAAATTTAAAACAATTTATAAGGTAATGAGAATTTTAAGGAGTTTGTGTATTGTTTTATCTTCTGTTTTCCTGGATATACATATTTCAAATTATATTACATGAATTTTGCTTTCAGTTACTACAAGTACATGTTAATTACTTAGGTGATAAGTAAAATGGCACCTGTACTGATTTACAGTTTTATTGTTTTAACTTTAACACTAATGTCCCTTAACTATTTTCTATGACATTTACTTTTCTTTACTAGTTCATTATTTCTGTGGTTTTGTTGTTAGTGTACTTTTGAGGTTAGTGTAGGGTTAAAATTCTAAGATTTTGCTCATCTTTCATACCTTCTCACTACCATGCTAAATCTCTTTTTTCTAATTGTGAATATTCTGCATCTTTTCTTTGTTGTTAGGGTCTTAATCCCCTTTTTCTGCCTTAATTTGTATTTAGTTTTTTTGGATGAATGGTAGTGATGCTTGCTTACAATAGCTCTAATTACTGCAGAACTCAAGGTAAATGGCATCTTTCTTGTATACTACCAAGCAAAAATATTTTAAGGAATCTTACCAGATTTTCATAATCTTCATCATTTAGATTGTCATGTTGGGAGAAATGAATGTTAATTTACTGATACTTATCACTGCTTCAGATGCAGATGGATTCCTACCTTTTTTAGTTTAGAGCACTCCCTCAGGTTGAGATTTTCATGGTATTGAGGCTGTTATACTTAAAATGCCCCACTGAAATAACTGAATTTTTTTTGTATTGCTTTAGTAATTTCTGAAAATCTACAAGGCAAGTAGAATGTACAAAGCAAGCACATAGATATTGCCAGTGTAGTTACTTAAATTTACTAAGGCTTACAATTTGTAAATATAATGTCTGTTCTGTGTCCAGGACAAGGGTAGACACTATATGCCAATATAAAATGATTATTTTGCCTGAAACAGCTTTTAATTCTGTTGGTGAGAATCTAAGAAACTTAAGTAGCCAGATGAATCTTCTTTTCGATCATGCTGACATTGTGATGATTGCATTGTGACATTTATATCACCATTTTGACTCACCCTGGAAGCATTATTTGGTAGAAGGGTGGGTGTACCTAATTTATGATACCTTTTAAGGTTTACCTTTTTGTTCAGTTTATATCACAGTCTACGGAATAGAAAAATGAAAGGTGTGAATTTTGCCTGTGAAAAATTTAGAGCCTGGGTTGGGAGTTAAGGAGGCATACCTAACTGAAATAACTGGATATGTGATATGTATTTAAAACTAGGAAATTTAAATGATAAGAAAATGTCATTGTGGGCTAGCATTAAAGAGATTTGTGGGAGAAAATGAAGTTTTAAGTTTTAAGTAAATCATTGACCAAATAATAGCCAGAAGATAAATCTGGAGCTAGAAAGATAAATCTAGAGTTTAGTTTTGTAGGAGGGAATCCAGACCCTGAGAAAAATTTTCTATTACCCAAGGTCCAGGCTCAATGATATATTGAGAGATACCTAGCTTACAGAAATAAAGCCTAAGACAAATTGAAGGGAGGCAGTGTGGTTCTGATAGGGACTTTGTCTTTTAGCCCTAGTTTTGATACAATGCTTGCCTGGGAAATTTTACTAATGTTTTTAACTAAAATTATTTCTCTTTGGAATAATTCCTTAATGGTTTAAATGCATTCCTTTCCTAGTCCTTTTTAACTTTGTAAGTTTGAGATCTGAATAAGCAGATGAGCAGTTCTTTAATTGATTTGAAAGTCTTCTGATAATTGAGTCTGGTTTTTTAGGTTCATGTAATAAACCTAATTTACTTCATCAGAGCTTTAAACTTGTATCAGCAAGAAAACAAACAGTAAGGAGGGCAATATGAATTATTTTCTAATAGACATTGGTTTTATAAGCATATTAAATATTGTATAATAAGGAGTGAAAGAGAAAGGGGTGACCTCATTCTTAAAGGATAACTTATTCTTGAAAGTCATAATACAATCTACTGGAGTACCAATCATAACAGTGTAGTTAATAGATTTTACTTGTGACCTATTGGAGAGATTCCTGATCTGGATAATATGTGAGCTACTTAGGAAGGTTTAACTGATTTTCTTCATACTACCTAGAATGCAGCTTATGTCCATTTTCATGTCTGTTCTCTTGTATGTGTATACTCCTTGCTATCACTACGTGGTCTTTCTGAATTACTTCCAGAGAGGTGAACAGCTGTTTCAAAAGTTTCATGTGTATATTTTTCCTTCATAACAATTTTTAACACTTTTTTTAAACCTAGTGACTTTTAATTTCTTACCTCGTAGCTAACAGGTAAATATATTTTCAAATATTCTAGGACAGTCCACATAAATGAGTTATTTTATTTTTATATTCCCTTCCAAATTCACTTTTGAAGGTTTTAAGATAATTCATAGGAAGTATTCCTTTCTTAACAAGATCATTTACTGACTATATATTCAATCAAAGGCCTAAATTAGTGACCATGGCCCTACGCATGTATTTTGAACACCTATTTCCATTTGTTTCATTTTAGAATCAATAGTAAATTATTTTATGACCATAGTTTATAAATACGATTCTGTAAAAATGACTGCTTTGATAACTTTTTGTGGTTTAAAATGTCTTTCAAGTAGATTATTTCATTTAATCCTTAAAGCAGTCTTGTGTGATAGCTAGGGCAGGTTTTGTGGTCTCAATTTACAGATCAACAAATTAAAAGTTAAGAGACATTAAGAGACAACAATTACTAGGCTAGTATTATATTAAAAGAGAACATGGAATGCTGTGATTTTACCTTTGCCCCATGAAAGTTTTCTCCTGCTATATTTAAAACATAGAAAAATATCTGTTCACCTAGGAGTATTTTAATATAATTTTGAGGGTTATAAAAAAATCTCTTAAAATTATTTTATAGTATAAAATAGTATAGTGAAACACTATTTAATGAAGACACCCTTTTTAAGAAAAAATAACATAATAGCTTATTTTTATATCATTTTTTCATCTCATTTGTAATCCCTGTGGGCTTCCCATCACCAACTCACCTGTGTGCCATCACCATAGTCCAGTGCACTCTTCCCCTCACCCCATTTTTGATCCCATTCCCCACTGCTCCCCCGTAAAATGTTTTTGGTATATAGTTGTTCATTATTATTATTATTTATTTTCCCCCTAATCCTTTATACTCCTTCAATGAGTGAAACCATCTGGTATTTTTCTTTTTCTTTCTGGCCTATTTCACTAAGCATGATCCTTTCCAGCTCCATCCATGTTGCTGCAAAAAGCATGTGTTTATCTTTTTGATTGCTGAATAATATTCCATTGTATATACGTACCACATCTTTTTAATCCAGTCACCTACTTTTGGGTATTTGGGTTGATTCCATGTCTTTCCTATTGTAAATAAAGCAGCAATAAACATGGGGTTGCAAGTGGCTTTTTGAATCAGTGTTTTTGAAACACCATGTTTTATAATTCCTTCCCCCCTCAATCTGGTCATAAATTAAAAAAAACATTTTAGGAACTGTGTAAGAAGATTGACCATTCTCTTTCAAGGTGTAGTACAGTAGCAATACAAACTAAACTATACATATATGTGTAGCTTATAATTGACTTGAAAACCAGCAGAAGATAAAATTTTGAATAGTATAACAAATTTTATTATGGCTTATGTTTAACTTCTATAGAAGTTACAGAGGTTATGAGCATAGATTTTCTTTTTTTGTATCCCAAAATAATTTCTACTGTTGGGTCATTCCAGAAAAGCATTTTGGTTACATAGCAGTTAGTTACTTGTTTGCCTTTCTTGCTTCTTCATTTCCCAACCTGCTCTTTCTGTTCATAAAATATAAATCTGTAAGTGAATTCCTTAATATATAATTGAAAGTTAAAAAGTAATATTGCAAAAATATACAAACATAAATCATGCACTTAAGAGTAGATTAAAAATAACAAATTTACCAACATTAAAAAAAGAACAAAAATATATAATACCAAGAAAGCTCATTTTATAACTCCTAATTTATGTTTTATGACTCCCAGTTTCCACAATACCTCCTAAGGAAGAGAAAGCTTTGATTATTGAGATTTGAAAAAGTAATTACGTGGGTCAGGAATGGAGGCTCTTTGGATACATTATTTTGAGAAAGGTTAGTGTCCAAGAATCACAATGTCAAGAGTAGGGAAAAAGTCATAATGCAAACAGATGACTACTGTTAGAGAGATGTATAATAATACTTTACTTTGTGTAGGACCCTACATCTGAGGAATTTCAAGAGCATTACACAATAACTCATGGTTCCTTTCAAATGCTTGTGACACAGTTTGCAAGAATTATCCTCACCTTAGGGGATATATTTACGGAGAAATGGCAGCACAAGTTGGTAAGTAACTTGTCAAAACAGCAGGTGACTGACTGGTG